CTTAAAGAACATTTTCATACTTTCTCTGTGTCTGTACTGAGAAGATTCATACTCCTTTTTATGCTTGCTCTCATACAACTTTATGGATAAAACCACTTTAACAATGTTTATAAACAATTACTACAGCAAGTGAGAGTCTGTCAGTCACACAAGCTCAAATATCTCAGGGTTCCTCTTCTATGACAAGCTCAGTACACAGCGTGAGCCAAGAAACGTACACATTAGGAAGAGAGAAACTTGTATAAATGTTCAATACTAAATTAAATGTGACATCATGAGATTAATACTAGTCACATTTGGCCTCTCAAATTGCAAGAGGTGCTCACAGTTGTGGCCATTCCAGACATTTATTGGTGTGGTGAACTGCTGAAATGTGTATACATTTTTTGGCACACTCTTTATATTTCGATACCAGATATGTATCATGCCATGTATATGTGGAATATATAGTGCAACATAAAAAATAGAGAAACATTCATATTTTTACCGTATACATATTTTTACATGTTTTATACAGTAAACATATCATATTTTTACAGTATACTGAGAGAATAGAAAACCACAAAACAAAAACTATTATCTTTACCCTTAGAGGATTTACATAATCATTCAGGGAATGGACATTTTAGCAGTTAGTTATGCTCATTACTCAAAGAGAAATTATAAACAATGTGACAGTTGGAAAGGGAATGGTAGGAGTAAGTACTACCATCTATTCTAAGGCAGGTTTTATGTCAAATGATTTTCATAACAAACCTAAATAGGTCAAAATGATAAATCTATCATATCAACATTATTGTTCTTCCATAAATGAATAAAATGAGTTTTAATAGGTTAAGAAACTTAGACCAGGTTATATAGTTTTATGTGTTAGAGCCAGAATAACTTGTTCTATCAAGAAGATGTGTGTGTGTGAGTTATGAAATGAAGATAGATAAATGACATATACAAGGAAATTCAAATAAATTTCCAATTTTTATATTATGTGGTTTCAAAAAAATTTAGATGAATGATAATGTCTTTTATTTTTACTACTAGTTTCCTTTTTTGAATGAGAAGAAAGTTTTGCCTTTTTTTTGGTCATTTCTTCTTTGTAAGAAAGAATCTTTTTCTTTTTATGACTTTTACTCTCAGTAACATTTTGGTCATTCTTACCAGATCATAATACACAATATAGATATACACTGTTATTCTTCAAATATTTTATTACAAAATTTGTTTCTTTATATAAATATGGTGTTTTCATATTTCTTTATTAGTATCAACTTGTATTATATTAAATTAAATATTAAAAAGAATAGGCTGAAAAATTAATTGCTTTGTCCACAGAAAGATCATAACACAGAAATCTTGACATGACAACATAATCCAATTAGTCTAACTCCAGCTGCCTTCATAGAATATCATTATGAACTCTCGATAATTCCAGATAAAAAATAAAATATTAATTGGAATCAATAAATAAATTGATAGCAACTTTGAGAAATTCATGTCTTCACTTCTACTTCTGTAGGTCGTGCGTCAGAAGAATTGCAAAGAGAAATGTGTTGGTGACCAATAGCCATACCATATATTACCTAGAGGTTTCATTACTGTTCATACAGAGATATGCTATTATCCTAATTTTTTCAACCAGAGGGGACCTGTACAGGTAGAGGTCAGTGTAGACATGAAAAACTTTTAAAAATCTCAAATACTGATTATTTTAAGAAGCAAGTGGAATTCATAGGAATAGGTGAACAAGGCAATAGGTGCTGACTCAGAATCAAGGCGTACAGAAGAAGGAGTGTTGAACATGGAGGTGCTCGGACCTTTCATGAATACCACATGGCTCCTACAGATGTGCGGACAAATTGTGTCACCACTAAGCAGTGCAGTCTCTTTTTGGATGCTGAGAAAGATACTGGAGCTGGTGAGGTCTGTGAGTCTTGTAAAGGCTTCTTAGAGAAACCAGACACATGGAATGTAACCCTTCTTTTTGTCTTCATATGTCTTGCTGATACCATCAATTGACATGGCTTAATGAAGAAGTAGAAGCTAATAAGTTGAGAAAATGTCGTTAATGGATATCCACCTCCAGAGTGAAAAAGAGGAGCATAGAAAGTTCAGTTATCATTAGATCTGTAACAATGATGTTGCTGATTAATAGAAAAATTAAATCAAACAATATTTTTGCAAGTTTAATACATTAAAAGTAATGAACCTAATTATATTTCATAGTCCTTACATCACATAGATAATAAATATGAATTTCTACAACTTTCTTAAGTATCTGATTCAGGTGACTCAATTTAAGACAGACATTCTATGCTAAAATTAACTTTGGTGTTGATATTTTGAGAATATATTTTTGCGTAAATAAAAGATAATATCAGTAATCATATTCTCAAGATATAAGATTAACAAATACAAAGCCGGTGGGTAGTAAAATAAATGAAAATACAGACTTTCTTATTCTGAAGAGAACATACAAAAAACAAATGCTGAAACCACATTTAAGTAATTCATTCTGCATTAGTAATAAAGAACAATTATTAGAAAATAAGATTAATAATTATGTGCCTCAGGTCAGTAAGTTAAACTCTCTGCAAGCAGCTTTCTCATTTCTCAACAACAGAATGTCTCAATTCATCAATCCTCATTATGAAAATTAAAGCACATAACCATGTAACATAATTAATGTTCACTATAATTGTTACTGCTGACAGTTTACTTATCTAATGAAATGAGACAAGTATAGGAAAGTATTTTGCCTGTGAGGAAGAGCCAGAATGTACATGGTGTCAGATCTGCTGAGTTAGATTAATAAAGGACACAATAAAATGTTTTTTCAAGGTTACCTTTCCAGTGGGGAGCAGTTGACAGCAGCACTCACAGGATTTTCAATCACAAATCAGCAAGACACTCAGGAGATGACTTTCAGAACTGCTTCACAAAGTGGCAAAAATGATGGGATAAGTGTGTGTAGGCAAATAATGCAAGGACTTCCGCAATGGAAATACATAATATCTAGGCACCAAAGAGGGTGGTTCAATGACAAGTAAAATAAATTCAATTCATTTTAGAGTTTGTAAATATTACATATGGTAAAGATCAGCATAGGAGATTTGAATACACCAAATACCAGAGCAATCAAGCAAGCACAATCCAGAATACAAGCAAGCAAACACTGTCATTGGCACAGGTGGTGGATGACCACTAGTGTGTTTGTTGATTTTGTAGCAACATATTTGATGTTGCTATGCTATTGCTTTATGCTGGAAATTAGAGCAAACAAAGCCTATGGAATGACTAAAATGTATGGTGAATTTTAAAATTAAAATATACATTCTAGAGTATAAAACATTGTCCTTCAGATAAAATAATACTTCCCAATATATTCTCCCTGACTTCAACACACTTCCCCCTCATTGTTGCCACTTTCCGAAGCAGTTCTGGAAGTCCTCTCCTAAGTGTCTTGATGAGTTGTGATCAAAAATACTGTGAATACTGCTGTTCAGTGCCATCCCGTGGAAGACAGCCTTGGGAGAAATTACGTTGTGTCTTTGCCAATCTAGTTCACTGGTTCTGACAACTTGTGATTTCTGAATCTTCCTTAAAGTGAAAATGCTTACAAAAGGTAAAAATTTTCAAATGATTTGAGACATCAAGGCAACCCTGACAGCATAACTAGATGCTCAGGAAGTGATATTTGCATCAGAAAATGACAAGAATGGTGGGATGGGTGCTTGAGGAGAGGGGAGCATTTTGAGGGGGATTAACAGCAATGTGTCTGTTACTGCAATATTTTTTCACATCTAAACATTAACTATATATTTAAATCAATGCCTATAAAAGATGTATATCAAGATTTATCATTTTCTCAGAATGTTTCTCTTTAAGTACAGTTCATGAAATGCTTGAAAGTTTTTTTTGTTGTATTACAATGTTTCTGCTTTGCAGCAACACATTTGATTTCAGTAAGACAGATGAGAACAACTCTTCACTTACAAAACTACTTATAGTTCTACAAACAAAGAAATTGTGGACAATTCTATATTTTGTCAGTCTAAATACAGATCACATTTTTAATTTCTCTTTACTAGTGCTGAACACTCACTTGGCTCTGCAGTAGAGAGGATACATGTTCCTAGATTGCTCCTCCACTTTCATTTCCTATTAAATACAAATCTCAATTCCTTGAACAAATAGTGAATTCCAGGTGTCAGCCAGGAAAGATGTCAGACTGTAGCAACAAAATAGTAGGAAATACACTACTATGTCACCGGAAGAATCCTTTGCTATATAAGTAGATGAGTATTTCCTGTTTGTATTTCCATTCTGGAGCACACACCCACCCAAACAAACACACCCAAGCACAGAGACATACACTGTAGGGAAAACAGGAAAACAAAGAACTTTTAAAAAAGTTTTCCATATGCTCTTTAGCCATATAAGTTTGTCTGGCCGAAACTCTTAGGCTATAGGGCTGTGGCCAAGTACTTATCCAAATAAAACTTATTTCATTCATTTATGGAAGACCTTTAAATAGATCAGATAGATTTAATATTTAGAATTTTTAGATGATATAAAAATTACTTACTGTAGAGTGTGGTTTATAGAATATAGAAGTATAATATGTAATTGACTGCTGCTGTCTCCTATGCTAGCATTATATTTTTTGAAATCCTTTCTCAAGAATGATCATAATGAACTACCAATATGTCTGTCTCTTGCATGATAATTTGAATTGTGTAGAGGCCTATATAATGCTTACTTATATTTGACCCTCTCAACACTAGAAAATGTTTATTTGTTTTTCTGTATTCCATGATACACTGTTTTACAACAAAGATTATACAATCTGTAAGCTTTGAATACATAATTATATTACAATTAAAAACGTGTTCCTTCATTGTTATGCAATACATAGTTGCTTAGAGGAAGGATGATGATAAGGAGTATCAAAGTTGACATACTTGCTCAACTCCTGATTATGCATTGAACCTTGTGCTTATAATTCGGACGATAATGCCGGATGTTCAGTTAACATTGGTCTGACAACCCTGGGAGAAAGGGAGAAAATCTATCTTTGAAAGAAAAGCAAAGCTCCTGGATGGGGCTGTAGCACACTGGCAATTCAAGTGGGCAACTCAGATAATTACGGAAGATTACTTTCTGAGCTTCTGAGGACAGAGAAGCTCAGAAAGCACAGCATGGGAAGAAAGTCAGTGTGCCTTCTAATTGTGGGGGTCCTTGTAGCATATTATGTGTATATGCCCCTCCCAGATAATGTGGAAGAGCCGTGGAAATTGATGCTTACCAATGCACTGCTGAAAACTTCTCTTCATCTGGTAAGTCTGAAAGGTTATGAATTCCAATGTCCATATGCAATTATATATTCCAAAGCAGTTTTCCAGGCTTGGTTTTTTAAAATTTATCCTTGTTTAAAAATAATGTTATGTTGAACTATTTTTGTTTTTGGTACCGGGAATCAAACTCAGGGCCTTGCACTTACTAGGGAGGTGCTGTGCCACTGAGCTATATGAGATTACATCTCACACCAGTAAGAACGGCTATCATCAAGATAACCAGTAACAAGTGCTGGAGGGGCTGTGGGGCAAAAGGAATCCTTCTCCACTGTTGGTGGGAGTGTGGGAGTGTAGACTGGTGCAACTACTATGGAAATCAGTGTGGGTGTTCCTCTAAAACCTAGGATTAGTGGTCCCATTCGACCCAGCTACTCCCCTTCTGAGTATCTTCCTGAAAGAATTAAAGACATCCTACCACAGTGATATATGTGCACTCATGTTTATAGCAGCACAATTTGTTAAATCATAGTTGACTCTTGGAAACAACCCAAATGCCAATCAACAGAGGAATGTATAAAAAAGACGTGGTATGGAGTACTACTCAACAATAAATGAAGGATAAATCTGAGACATTTATAGGTAAATGGGTGCACCTTGAAGTCATACCCATAAGTGAAATAAATCAGACTCATATGTGTAAACATCATATTGTCTCCCTAGTGTAAGAAGCTGAAAGAGTAAATAAGACCCAAAATTTAAAATAGATATAGAGGATGGGAAGAAACTGCTCAAAAGGAAAGAGAAACTTAAATGGGAAAAAGGAGAAAAGAAGGAAGGGAAAAGGGAAAATAAAAATAAATTATATATATATATATATGTTATATATATATATATATACACGATTCTTAAAATAGTTATACTACTAATTACTATTTTTACTTCAATGAAAAGAAATGTTTCTGCTTATATAATTTCATGAACTTTCCATACCTATGTCTTGTAATATGAGCAACTATTTTGAAGATAACAATATGCAATGTACTAACCATTGTTACTCTCCTGCAATCTTGTTTTCGAATTTTATACTATTGGTTCTGTTTTTTATCTTTGCTTGAAAATAAAAAATAATGTTATAACTTTCACTATTTACTGCCTAGAAACATGGTTTATTTTCTGTTTGCTATGTTTTATAGGAATCATGTTTACAAATATCAAGTGCAATAGGCTAGCAGGCTTTTGAGCAGTTTATTCTGAAAAAAAGCTTTGGTTAGGTAGGTTAATGTCACCATGGTGGTCTTCCATTGATATTCTTTATTTAATGCACTGGTAGATTACTACTTTATTTTAAAAATAACCTAAACATGGTCTGATTATGCACCAGTGCAATAAATATAAACCTGTTTGAAATTTTCTTTTGGATTCAGAATACAGAAAAAGGAATACACAGAATTTCTCAAGGAAAACCTGTACAAGCAGGATGGCTGGCATATTTCCTGAGTATTTGGGTCGGTTTGTAGGCAGAAATAGAAGAGGAAACCCTGCTCTCTCCTGGAAACCGGCTTCTTGCCAGAGCAGCTCAGGTGTGAGGAAACAAGCCAGGTGTTTGTTCTTGTACATTGGATATATTTTCCCATTATTTCTTTTATTGTTTGTTGAACTTCATTTTGACATTCTCCCTTTTGAAAATTAAAACAGGTGGATTTTAGTTCTCATTTATTGAACTGCAAATTTCTGTCAAATCCTCTTAGGAAGCAAAGCCTGTCACTGTAACATTCACATTTTAGTGTGGGGGGGAAAGAATAAATTATAATGAAATGAGGGAATGAATTCACATCATGAAAGTAAGCTTGAAAGAGGTAAGACAGGAACAGAGATTAATTCAGGCATATGATGGGAATAGCTCTACTCTATATAGGATCAGAGGACTCCATTGATGAAGAAATATGTGCTAATAAGCCAGATCATCAAAGAATCCAACCACATTATGAGATTAGGATAATACGGGTTCCATCAGTAATATGAACAAGTACAAATCTCACACTTGCAAAATACTGACAGGTGAAGCAATCTCATGAAAAATTTGCAGTGGTTGGGAATACATCTGCAACTGAATTATGAGACATGAGATGTTTTATAATACACTGCTTTGTGACCAATGGTAGTAAGTTTTGATTTAATTCCATGAGTAATATGGAGGTTTGAAACCTTTAAGCAGTGGTTTTATATTTTTAATATTCACTGTACTTGGAGTCCAATTTGGGAAATGTCTGATGTTTTAATACTTTTCATTTTAGAGGTACTGCTATTTCTGTTTTTGTGATTTTCCTCATCTCTAACAGTATTCCGTTTTAAGCTTTGTTTCTAACTGTAATTTATGAATATATTTTCAGGCCTCTCAAAGTGTTGTTTAATGTTTTTGACTATGTTTTCTTATTCTTTCATTTTCTGTTTTTGAGTTCAATTATTTCCTTGACCATGTGGTTGCCGTTTGTTTTGTTTTGTGTATATTCCCTTAAGGGGGCTTCCTTCAAATTCTTGTCAAACTTTGCACATCTGGTCCCATTTCACTGAGCAATTATGCTGTGAATGAAGAGCAAGTCAAGAATCAAATGCATTACTGCATTTCTCTATTTTCTAAAAGGATTAAGGGGACTCATGCATAAGGACACCATTCTTTTCACCTGATATAATTAGGGGTTAATATCTACTTGTATGTTCAAATTTCCCTTTGAATTTGGAACTTAAAGTCTAAGATGTGTTTGAATTTCTTTTTAGGGTATGTTCATTGAAATTCTGGGGATTTGTAATTTTATTGACATATTGGCGCTAACTGTGAGCATTGCGGAAGTCTCACCAACTTCAGATGAAGTGCTCTCTGTGACAGAAACCACATTCAATAACACTCCAGTTCGTATATATGTGCCAAAGAGGAAGGCAGATGCACGAAGAAGGGCTGTGTTTTATATCCATGGTGGAGGCTGGTGTTTTGGAAGTGCTGGTAAGTGAAAGTATTGAAAATCTCTGTTACTGAGGTAGTTGCAAAGTTCTCACTAATGCTTTCTATAATCTTATTCAGAAAGGACACAAATCTTGTCTTCTTTTTTGCTTTGAACTCTGGCATAGATTAATATTTCCTAGAAGATTCAGATCTTTATTTCCCATTTATATGTATGCAATTTCTCATCAAATCATGTAGAACAGAGAAGAGAAATAGTTTCCAATAAATTAAATTATATATTAAGGCAACGTATTACTGTTTGTGTTAGTCTGTATTTTATAAGAGGACCAATTAATGTGTTAATCCACTAACTCATCTATTTGCTTTGTGTCTGGCAATCTTCTAGCAATGTTGGAGAAGTTGGAATATATAAAATTGTTTCATAGCTTTAATTCTAATGCAGCAATCTCTAATCATCTCATGTGAAGAATGAAGAAGATTAGAAGGTTAGGGGAGAAATCTGAATCCGTTAAGTCAGGGAAGGGTGCTTTCTTAGGATACAAAGTATTGAATTTTTCTCTCTGTTAACATGCAACAAGTAGAGAACTGTCAAAATGTGAATCATGTGGGTACAGCTCAGGGGTACAGCGTTTGATGGCATAATGTAAATAATGTACAGTAGAATTCTGTGAAGAGAACGTTCTCCTTTTTCTTTGTTCATTTTTATAATATTTTGCCTTTGTTCTATTTAAGCTTTACGTAATTATGATCTGGTTTCACGATGGACAGCAGAGAAACTTGATGCCGTTGTCATATCAACTAAGTAAGAGCTGTGTTGCTTTGTGTATAGTATAGATGCCTTTTTACCGGTATTCTCTCAGATCTTTCACCGGGCTCACCTGTGTCAAAAGGAAAATATTCTGAGTTCACATGGAGACATTTCAAAGAAAACGCTAGACTTACCTTGATTAGTAGTGAGCAAAATGTGTGCGTGTGTGTATGTGTGTGTGTATGTGTGTCTAAGTGCACAGCAATGCATGCGTGTGTCCATGATTTGGGCACACAGACAAGGTGATACCAAAAAAAAAATTTACATATAAATTGTATTATCCTTAGAAATGATGACTTAGACCTGATTACCTTCTAATTTTAACTCTTAGTTTTTAAGAATGAGCTTCCTGGAGTTAGAGGATTATCTATAAAAGCACACGGTAAATAATTCCTACCTCTGACCCTCCTTGCAAAAACTAAGAAGTAACACCCTTGAAAGACACCTAACACAGGGGCTAGAAAATGATGATTTAGAGCACTAAACTTCACTTTGAAATTTAACAAAGTGAGGAATTCAGCTTAAATTAATGTGTTTGCTCAATAACCTATGTCTAAATGCAACACTAAGAGGCATATCATTGTGTTAATTAGGTACGCTCAGGCCACAGCACTATATACAAGAGTAGATCAAAAATTAGGTTAAGTGATTAAATTAAAAACAAATTTGTTACAGTAGAAGACATATTTCCAGGAAACAATGAGACAAGTACATTTGAAACAAGGGTGAATATTTTAAAGAGTATTAATTACAATGTGTCTTTCATTGTAATAGTATTTTAAACTTAAATATTCGCCATAATATTCAGTCATAACCTTGTAATTATTTAAATTTAACCTACAGAAAAGGATGGAATGGTTAAAAAATAACCATTTTATATTATGTCTAGTTAAATCATTATTACACAATTGAAACATAGATATGCTCAACTTTACTTTGTAAATGATTCCCACTCAGTAGATAAAATAATGTTTTTAAAAAATTCTTTAACTAGGATATTCTAACTTGCACTGCATCTTACATTTCCACTTTGATTTTATATATGTTTCTTAATAAAAACAAGTCAAATGACACTGAAAGACATATATCCACATTTGTTTCATTTAAATAACTAATGAATTACACTAACTTGGTGAAATTTTAAATTTCTATGCAATTCTGTGCTTTATCTTTCACATGTTCTTATTTAAATTAATGGTCAAATGACATCTTTTTTTGCAAAATGGACACCTTTTTCCACTCACTAAAATGGCCAGTAGGCCCAGGAAATATTGCTAAATATCAATACACATTAAAAAATGCAAATAAAATCCACTTGCTGTCCACTGGGTGGCTATAATTGAGAAAGAAGCTAAAGCAAGTGTTAGTGAGAATGTGGGAAAATGAGATCTTCTGTATCCTTGTGGGAAGGTAGATAAGAGCAGACACTTCAAAAAATGTATGAAAATGTTAAAAAAAATTGTAACATTACCTAGCATTTGCAACCATAGGGTAATAAAAACATATCCACTTAAAAACTTTCACATACAAAGCAGCAATATTCATAAAACTACTAAAGTAGAAATAATGCAGTTTGTATCTAGATAAATGAAATGTTGCATATTCGTACAATTGATTAGAAATTGTCCTTAAAAAGGAATGGTATGAGATGCCTAAATCCTAAAATACTTAAAGTATGTTAAAGTAGCCAGTCCCTAATATGATTCTGTTTCATAAAATTTCTAATATGCACAAATCCATAGAAGCAGAAACATTAATAGATGCCAAAGGATGAACATCACTCTGGGAAACTGAAACAGGCCTCCTGAAGTGTGTAGGGGTTATTTTGTTGGCTTTTATCACTTTTTATGAGTGCTGACAATATTATAAATTTCATTGGTATTATGTATGGAGAACGCCTAAAATCCACTTAATTTTGCACTTTAAATTAATAGTATGGCCTGTAAAACATATTTCAAAAAGGTGGTTACATGAGAAGTTAAGAATTTACATTTATTAGTCATTAATACATGACTTAAGGTATTTTTATATCGATATATATATCAATAAATGATAAAGTGGAAATATATTATTTATTGCTCAAATATACAAACATATGCTGTGGAAGAATCTTAGGAAAAAGGCTGTTAAAGCAATTTAGGAAAAAGATATCCAAATTATCAACAAACACATGAAAAGATAGTATACATAAATTAAATTCACTAAGCTATACATCCATATATAATATTATGGTAAAATTAGAGAGACCTATAACACCAAATGTCGGTAAGTGTAGACATCAAAATGCTCTTTCTAAACTGTAATTCTGGTAGACAGGAATACACATTTTCAACAAACAGCAGATATTCAACTATCCATAGCACCACTGTTTCTGTAAAGTCAAGTTTGCAAGCAAGCCAGATCACATGACCTTTCGTAAGTCTGCACAGTTTTTATTTACTTATCATTTATTCATTTATTGGTTTTTGGTGGGAACATTTAATTTTTCACATGAAATTTACTTTCTCAACATATTTGTAAATACACAGTACCTCATTGTTGCTGTTAGGTACAAAGTGTGCACTGATTTCTAGACCTCACTGACGCTTCCTGGTGGAGTGCATTAATTAGTATCCTTTTTCTCACTTTCTACAGGCCCTGAGAACCAGGGTTTTACTTCCTGAGTCTATGAATTTGAGCATGTTAAGTATCTCACACACGTGGAGTCACAGCTGTCCTTTTCTAGGTAGCTCATGTTATTGGTTGAGTGAGTTGTGGCCCATTCACACAGTGGGGTACTCATCTATTGTATTCTAGGTCATCACCTCAAAAGCAAGACAGGCAAAATTAGTTAATGCACTGAGTCAGGTTAACGAATACTTCTGGAGATAGACGGAATGAACAGGAGACTACCGGCGCTGGCAATGTTCCATTTCGTGCTCTGGGTGCTGCTCGCTCTGTGGCTGTGTTCTTTCAGAACTCCAGCAGCTGTGTATTTAGGACATGCGCCTTTCTGTTCTGTACTTCATACTTTAACGCATTTTCTTTTAAATTAGTGATGAGAATACCATGCTTTATTCCCCCATAGCTACAGATTAGCACCTAACCATCACTTTCCAACCCAATTTGAAGATGTGTATAATGCTTTGAGGTGGTTCTTACTCGAAAATATTCTTGAAAAATATGGTGTGAACCCGGAGAGAATCTGTGTTTCTGGAGACAGTTCCGGAGGGAATCTAGCTGCTGCAGTGATTCAACAGGTAGGAGCACTGTCATTGTGTGTTTTAAAAAATAGTATATTTATGAACAGACATAAATACACCTATGTAAATATAAAAGTTGCATTTTTGGAACTGTCAGAGCACTGAGAAAGTGTTTAAAACCAAAATGTCAGCTTCTGTACCCATCACAGACTTTTTAAATAAGGAAATTACAGTCCTTTAAGCAGGTCATTGACTCAAACTTTTGTATGTGTAAATAAAATATTGTAGTAGACAGATCAATGAAATAAGATGAAAACAGAACATGATATCTGTTCCTTTGGGAAATTCTGAGGTGTTCAATCACGTTCAGTGCAGTGGTCTTCTCTTTCCTAAATTAGTACGTGTTTGCAGTACATAATGAGGACACTCATTACAGGGGACTTGTACACGCGCATAACGTATCTGAAATCTTTTTTGGTCTGCTTCCCCTCCCTCCAACCCTTCGTTCCCTCTCCATTTACAAAAGCTCTATTTCCATTTTTAATTCTTTGTTCCCCTTAAATCGCATTTCCTTCCCTTTCCTCTCCCCTCCCCCATCTCGTGTGCCCCTTGCCTGTGAGAAAGTTCCCCCTACTTCCTGATATCTGCCCTCCACTTTGCTGCTCATTTGCCCTTTGGGTTTCTCATACAAGAGTGACAGTGAGATGTTCAAATTTGTGTGTCTGATGTATTTCACTTGGGATGATGGTCTCTAGGTGCATTCATCTACCTAGAAACGCCTCAAGGTTACCCTTCCTCACTGCAGAGTTTGCTCCACTGTGTACAAATACCACATTTTAAAAATCCATGTATGTGTTGATGGGAAAATGGGCTCTTTCCAGGATTTAGCTAGTATAAATTGTGCTGCTATAAACATGAGTATTGCCAGAATAATTACACTGTTTTAGAAAATTATCAGCACATTCATGTTTTTATGTGCTACAAGGAAAAAATACTACTTCTTTGTATGTATATGTAAAATAATATTCTATGTGTTGTTTCATAATAATATAAACCAATAATAATAAATATATTTTCTCCCACATTACACATAGAAAGAATTTTGACACAAATCAAAATACTGTTATTTACATTTAAAAATCAAAATAACATCATATACCATAAACATTTACTTATATAAATATTTTAAAATGAAAATAAAATTTCTATTAGATCTACACCAAATCATATTTTATCTACCACATTTACATTTCATCTGTCACATAATCTACCACATTTATAGAATGAAACTATTGTTATTTATTTATTCTTAAGGGAATTAATTTGTGCAAATATTTTCAATTACTTCTTAGCTCTTTTTTTTTTTTTTCAGTCCCAGGGACTGAACTCATGGTCTTGTGCTTGCCAGACAGGCACTTATGCCACTGAGCTATATTCCCAGCCCCTTTTTAGCTCTTAGATAAGCTTGTGTTTTTTACTCTGCCACATATGAAATGTGGCAGAGTAAAAAATCAAAAATATTTGCTTTGTTAGACTTATTCATTACTTTAGAATAAAAAATTTTAGCTTCTAGTGTCTGAGATGGA